TTGGAACCGATAACATGTGAAATTGGGCTTTCTCGTCGTTGGTGGTCACATGCAGAGAAAGTTTTTGCAGAATTGTTGAAGACGTACCGAGGTTTTTTTTATTTATTTTTTAAATTTCCTATTGAAAAAACATATTCCTGTGCATTTACCGTAAATCTGACTTTTGTCCTCCTGCTTTGATTTTGATATCTTCCTATTAGCTGACGCTCATGGGCTTAATTACGCATGCTAATTTCTCATCCAAATTTTGCCAAAATTTTATCAATTTGACCTTGTCACAAATTTTGGAGCTAGCTAACCAACTATAATTGTGAAACTTAGGGACCGGTCATAAAGTAACTGCTAGGGTGGGCTGGAGTGATTTGGGATGGGCCATGGAAAATCTTTGGGCAGTTTCGATGGGCCGCCAATTTTTTTGTATGTCCGCGGTTGGGCCACCAAACAAAAAAAAAACATGCATGTCTACTTCAAAAAATAAAGATACTAATAATAAAAGTAAACAAAACTATCCAAATTATCAAATGCAAATGATGCTATTGTCTATTGAAGCCAGTACTTTGTTTATACAACAACAAAGAGTGGTCGAATCACAGCAAATACAACCAACTGGAGAGCAGCTCAGTACCAATGTGTTTGTCAAGCTTGGTGGAATTATGTATGTCAATACAGTGCCGTGCATGTATATATTTACAATGTTCATACCTGCAAGTTTTTTTATTATAAAAGTGTATTTTCCCGATTTAGATTGGATGGGTCATGAAAATTTTTTGTAAGATTAGATGGGCTTTGAAATTTTTATCTACATCCTAAGATGGGTCACCGAACTTATTGGCAAAATTTGTGATTTACCTCCAGCCCACCCTAGCAGTTACTTTATGACCAGTCCCTTATCTGCTTTAACTAACTAATAATTTAAATGAACCTTTTAGTACCAGAGTGGGCACTCTTCCCTTAACGAGTAAAATCATCTGGCGTTAGACAGAGTAAAGGCCCATTTCCATTCAAGAAAAATTTTCACGGATTGAGAATTTTCTGATAATAATTGTTAAAAGTTGAAATGTTCAACTTCAAATGTTTTTTTCGACGGAAAATTTGTGTCGTGGAAATCAGTGCCGTAGAATAATAAAGTAGAACTAATGTCAGGAGGATATTGAATATGTAAAACTACAAACAGAGTTGCATTTCAGGCATATAGTTGGTGGATTATCATTGTGATAATGATATTTAATATTTCAGGTAGTCCCGACAAGAAATGGTGGGATAAGATCATTCAATACAACGGCGCGAATAGGTCGGGTGAAATGCCTGGTTATTTTGGCTGGTTAACCGAGTTTGTTGAAGACAAGAGTCTGGTGAAGACTCACTTGTTTACCAGTGGTTTGCTATCAGTTCCACTTGAAATCAAAAGTCCTTTTGAGGGTACGGAGGACACAGCAGCACTGGTAGCAGGAATGCTTGACTTTACGTTGTATAAAGAGGATGTTCCTGTTGTTCAACCATTTCAAGGATGGTCATTGATGCTTCCTGAACATTCTCCATTTCGTTCCAAAACTGCTGCTTGAAATGGTCGTCTTGAAATCTCTTGTGAAGACAAACTTTATCAATATATTTGTGTTGTTGTAATAATTGTCGTTAGAATGATAATATTCTTTTAGAGTCATTATAATAATTATATTGTTATAACAGCGTTAACTTTTCAGTGTTAAAATTTCCACAAAAAATTCCAGCACAAGCAGACGGCCGAAAAAATATTCGTGCAAGCTGAAATCACCCTCCCCCCC